GTGAATGACCTTGCAAATGCCTCTGTGCACAACAATAGAATGTTTCTCTGAAGTGCACTAACCGCTAAGCAGGGACAGCATGTGCTTTTTGTTGTTAGGAACCGAGAAAGTAGTGAGGAGACAGGAGAGGCTAACAGGAGAAGCTGAGCAAGTCCAAAGTGGGACTTTTCCCTTAGAAGGCAGTTATACGAACCATTATATCAGCAGTACCATACCAACTTTTGCCCTTAGAAGACCAAAACAGAATATATTCTATTTTAAACTGCAGGGCTAGAAATAAGAGTCACTGTCCTCTGGAATGGAGGAAAAGAAAGAAAACAGCAGCAGTTGACGAGACAAAGCGAATGTGGAAGGGAGGCCTGATGAGCACTGTTAATTGACTGTGCGTGCTATAGGAGCTAAGGGGAAGCAGAAAGTTCAAGGAGGGAGCAGAGACTGGGGAGGGCTTCATGTAGGTGAGGCCCAGGTAGCCCAGGGACAAGAGGGAGCACACTGCCTGTGGCCAGAGTAGCCTGGCGGGAGGGCAAGGCCCGTGCTGGGGAGCTGTGGGAAGAAAAGAAGGCTGGGAAGGGAAGTGTGTGCATCATGGGGCAGGCCATCTGCCAACTCTGAGGACAGGTCAAAGTCCCCATTTCTGAAGATCACCATGCTAACCACATGGAGGGAGGATGGCCAGGGCGGGGAGCCTAGAGGCAGGAAGACCAGGGAGGCACCTGTTTTCACAACTCAAAACAGTTGGTTAGGGAGGACCTCAGGCACTGTTGGTAGACATGGCAGGGAGGAAGCTGTAAAGGACAAACACACAAAGAGCACGGCTTGGTGACCAACGGGAAGGGTCCAACAGAGGAGAATTCAACAAGATGATACTGTGCACATAACAGACAGTGCTAACAACAAAACCACTAACAGATACGGAGCTGCTGGGGAGGATGAAGGTGAGCACAGCTCACAGAGCCTGGCCCCTAAGAGGTGGCCGGCACTGTGGGACACACAGCAGGATGGAGGGATGGGGCATGTCCTTCTCGAAGTGTAGAATGTGAACTAGGCATGTTTTGCAGAGAGAGCACAAGCAGCGCATGCAGACTGGTTGCAAATGACTGGCCACTGGTCTCTGGGGACAGAGCTGGGATCTACCGACTGGACTGGGAGTCCCTGTTGGCAGGACTCATTTCATATTCCAAGAGGACACTCGTTGATATTGAGCTGATCTCCCAGCTGAGGGAAGCTCCTGGATGCCTACGGCTTTATGTGAGGAAAAGGCAGGAAGAAAGCCTACCCTCTCACTGGGGTCCATTAGTGTGATTAATAATAAATGTCCTCAGGCACTTGACGTTGGCAAGATGCCTTGTCCCTGCTGCTTATTACCCATACCCTGTGCCCAGCTTCTAGCCGGCCCATTAGGTGCTGTACTGATACAAATCATCAAATGCACCTCTTTCCTGACTATGCCTGTGGCAGCCTGGGACTGAGGTCATGGTGGAAAGAAAGTAGACTTAAATTCACACGACCCAGGCCCGGTTTCTTATCTTATTAGTGAGAAACCATGTGATTTTCCAAAAGGTACTTTATTTCCCGGACTCTCAATCTCCTCCTTCCGAGCTTGGAAAAGTCTTTTGTGATGCAATGCGAGTTACTAAATGACTTCGCTAATACTCACTATATGGTAGATTGTGTTTTCTCTGCCGTCATTCAAACTCTGGTTTTTGTTTCCAAGAAAAGAGTACCCTGTTCCTTTGGTTTGTATTCCCAGCCATATTGTGACACAGGGTGAACTTTATCTGTGGGGTGACTGCAGTATATTCTTTCAGAGTACTGTCTGGTTTCAGAATGTATACACCTACACACACACACACACACACCACATCCCCCCCCCCCCCCCCCCCCGTGAACACCCATAAGCTCATGCACAAAAGAAGCCGGGTAGCATGTTAAGGAGTTGAGCAAACTACTTAAAAGGCAAGGCAGGCATAGGAATCCAAGTGGAGTGGGAGAGGATGCCGAAGGGTGGGGGAAGGCAGAAGCATGAAGGAAGACGTTATAAAGAGGCTGAGGGAGATGGGTGGGATTGGTCCCAGGCGAGGAGCGATTGCAATAGTGCAAGTGCAGATTTTGCTGATCAGAACTATAGAACTATGGCAAGTCTTTTCTAGTCTGACTATACGGCTGATTTATGTAAATGTGTACCGCAAGATCTCTGGCTGATCTGGGCGCTCACTAGTTTTCTTGGCTGGCTGGCCAAAGAGCATCTTGGATCTACTTGTCGCTGTCCTGTCCTCAAGCACCTTCTTGCCAAGCTATTAGGGGATGATAGAATTCAAATTCAAGTCCTCATGCTTATCGGGCAAGCATTTTACCAACGGATCCAACTCTCAAGCCCCTAAATCTTATTCTTTCTTTCTTTCTTTTTAATTTAATTAATTTATTTATTAAAGATTTCTGCCTCCTCCCCGCCTTCGCCTCCCATTTCCCTCCCCCTCCCCCGATCAAGTCCCCCTCCCTCATCAGCTGGAAGAGCAATCAGGGTTCCCTGCCCTGTGGGAAGTCCAAAGACCACCCACCTCCATCCAGATCTAGTAAGGTGAGCATCCAAACTGCCTAGGCTCCCCGAAAGCCAGTACGTGCAGTAGGATCAAAAACCCATTGCCATTGTTCTTGAGTTCTCAGTAGTCCTCATTGTCCGCTATGTCCTGTCCCTTGACTCTGATGTCTCCAGCTTTCTTGGACGCTGGGTCTAGAATGCTTCTGCACTGCATCTCCTCACAGTGGCCCTTGCCTTGCTTTACTGTTTGATGCCAGACTTGCCCAACCTTCCTTGAATGGTAGGAATTTACCTCATCTAAAACCTTAGATCTCTCTCTTCACGCTCCCTCTTTCTCCGTGGGGAGCCAATCTATGTGTGGACAGCTAGACTCTATTCTCATGTCTTTTTCTCCAGAAAGACTGGCATAAGCCAGATCATATATAAGGAAATGGCTGCATGGGGGGGGGGGGAAGAACAGAAGTATTGATCACGGGAAGAAGGAGTTGGTATACAAAGAGGAAGGAAACGAAGACGGATTTCCCTGCCTCTACTTTTTTCTGAAAATAGGGAGACTAGGTTAGGAAGTCTAACCTCCCAGTAACGTCCAGTTGCTTGACCGCAGTCACCATCACCACTTTAGCCAGTGTCTGTTTGGTGAAATGAGGATGTGGGGCTTTATTTCACAGGCTCTTTTTTTTTGTCCCTGATTTTAACCATCATTTTTTTCCTCACTTGTACTATTGCAATCTCTCCTCCCCTAGGACCAATCCCATCCATCTCCTCCAGACTCTTTATAATGACTGCCTTCACTCTTCTGCCTTCCCCCACCCTTCGGCATCCTCTCCCACCGCACTTGAATTCCTATGACTGCCTTGCCTTTCTAGTAGTTTGCTCAGCTCCTGTTCCCAAGGTCTTCTGAAAGGTGCTGCTCCTCCTTGGGGCAGATGCTCAGGTTTTGTCAGAGGACGCTCTTTTTGCCCTCCCAGCACCTATGCCAGTGAACTGTGGTATCAGAGACAGAAATGGAGGCATGTTGACTCATGGGCTCTGTTAAGGAGGAGATAGGACTGTTAGGTTCCTGAGTGCAAATGCCAGACTTTATGCAATCACATCTTTTTTTTCCCTTTTTTTTTTCTGTGCAGGCTACTTCTTTCTCCTCCTTTTATAATGTTTGAATGGGAAAGGACCTTGGAAACCCAGTAGTTTGATCATTGTTACAGAATGGGAAGGGACTTACCCAAGAGAGCGCAGAGGACACAGAGTGAGTTAACGGCAAAACTAAGATTTGAAGCCAGGTGGGTGTTCTGGTTGCCTCCTTCAAATGACCTTTCCACTATTCTGCATTTGGGTCTCCATCATTGAGGTATACGATACGTTACCTCATAACACAATCCATGTTCCTGTACAGTTGCCAGAACAGGAGTGTATATCTCATCTGAGACTTATACCCTGATCAAAAAGTGAACGTGAGTCTGGTGTTGGGGTACATACCTGTAATCCCAGCACTAGGGTGGCAGAAGCAGGAGGCTCAAGTCAACTACTACTCTGTGTTAAAAAAACAAACAAGGGAATGTGTAGAAACGGTGGCACACACCCGAAATCCAGTAGAGACAGTAGGATTATTACTTCTAGACTAACCTAAGATAATATAGTAGGATTGTGAGTTCAAGACTATCCTAAGCTACATAGTGAGTTTAGGTGCCAGCTCCGGTGACAAACAGATCAAATCAAACTAATCTGTTGGGGAAGGGCTAAAGAAAGGATCGGTGTACTAATCCGGGTAGAGTTGAAACTGCGAATAGAGGAAAGAAAGTGAACTTAGAAGACATATTTGGAAGTGATCTCAGTTCTGAAGAACACGAGGCCCAAACAACGTAGAAGGAAATGTGCCAGGTGAACCGAGTTCTGAAGAAGGGAATGGAGTGTTGAGGAGGAGCTGAGGCGATTTAGTCAAGAGAAGTTTCCTGAGAACTCTGAGGAACTGGGACAGCAGAGGCTTTGCTGTGTTCACAGGGAGCTTAGATGAAGCATGATTGGAAGTCACAGAGAAAGAGTTCAAACGTACACGGGGAACTTTCTAATTAATCAGCAAGAAAGCTTCGAGAGGGAATAGGCAGTTCTAACGGGCAACTGGTGACCCAACAGTGGTAACTCACAGTCAAGGGCTGCACCAGCAACTGTTAGGGTGTGGCCCCCCAGTAATGCTCTGGCTCAGACTGGGGGCGGAGTCTGATGGTGGAAACTTGAAGGGTTAGGGACAGTGAGAAAGGTGGGAGGGGGCAGAGTGGAATTGGGTGGGGCGTGGGAGTCCTTCCTGGGGCGTTTGGGACCCTAGCCTGTCCCCCCACGTGGCCGGAGTGGCTGCACTGGGCTGGGCCGGGCTGGGCGGGGCGATGCCCGAAGTCGCGGGCAGGCGGGCGGGAGGGCGGGGAGAGGCGCGGAAGCCAGGCCACATAAAGGAGCAAGCGGCGCAACGGGGGCGGCTCTTTCCTGGGTGGGGTTTGTAAAGTCGTGGCCCGTTAGCAGGAAGCGGAGCAGTCGCCCTACACTAGAGTGGGACCCAATCTGAGCACCCGGCTCTCCCGAGTCCTTGCCGAAGTGTACTGCGCGCTCAAAACAGCCCGACAGTTTCTAGCCAAACTTCACCAACTCGTCCGCCTTTGCCGCCACCATGCCGAAGACGGTGAGTGCTGTGCAGGGGCACCGACTCTGTCGGTCCTGGGGGCTCCAGTGTGACCTTTGCAACTCTTTGCCTGGGGGCTTGCCCGGCCACAGGCCTCCCGGGGATGCCAGGCTGTCCCTCAAGGTCCTAAGAAGGAGAGGATAATGGGGTCCTGATTTGAGCGCTCTAGACGGCGAGGGGGTGTCCGAACTAGACATGTGGTTAAGGAGGGGCCAACCTTTCTTAGGGTCCAGCTCCCCACCTCTGGGATGAGGCAGTGGAAACTCGGGGTTGTTGGGCACTGGGACGAGACTCTACTTTGGAGAATATTTCCCCGGCCCAGGAATTGGCGCCTTTCAGAAGTAAGGCTACTACTGTCCCAGAAGAGCCCCATGGTAACAGAGAAGCAGGGAGGAGAGAGGAAGTTGCTCAGGGCGGATCCCGCACGCCCATCCACCTTTCCCACAGCCGCCTCCCTTCTTCTCGACTCCTGCTCTGTCCCCTTCCACCGCTCCTCCGCTCAAACTGCTTTCCCCTGGGAGATGAAGGGGATGTAGGGGGGGGGGGGGCTCATCTGCTGGGTTACTTCCTTTTACCCAGGGGTGCAAACACTTCACTAGGCACAAGTCTGTGGAGGGGCCCACTCAACCTACTGGAAGAGAGGGCAGGTTTCTCTTCCTCTACGAAATCCCTGGTAGACACAGTGCCTCTCTATCCCCACAGGGCTGTTGTGTGAGGTACGGGTTTTCTCCTGTGGGGGCCACACCTATCTAGTGTAGTGGTTGATTAGAGATCTGGTCTCCACCCCACTGGCTGTTGCTAGAAGAGCAGAAGCCTCCAGGGAGTGAGGCCTAGGGGGGCCGGATGCCCAGTAGGGAGGGGTGGGGGAGGGGTGTGCTTGACTAATGAGCTCTGCTTGCTTTTGTGCAAGTCACGCCAGGTCCTTGTTCATGAAGGCCCGATGACCGCTGTGACTTGAGTCTCTTAGGTGAAGGAGCTTGCTGGGCTGCTATGTTGTATGTTGCTAACCCATCCATCTTCCTGGGACTGCGTGAGCCTGGTGGAGCTCAGATAGTGACCAGGATGCTTAAGAAGGGATGAGGGCCCCTGGGAGGAGAGGAGAGTGAATAGCTAGGGGGAGGCCTTTGTGTCTCTACTGAGGTTTGGCTTCCACCTTACTGCATTCCGGCCTCGCTGCTCTGTCGTTCTTGCCTTCATAGAGCTCGGTCCTTAAGAAGCACAAGTTGTTTTTTTTTTAAATTTTTAATTTTTTTTGAGAGAGTCTCATGGTCTTATGTAAAATTATACTTGCGAAAGCCTATACATATGTGAAAATATACTTCGTTCTCGTACACTGCCCTCCTGCCATCTCTGTTACCCCCAGATCTCTGGCAGGTTCTTTTCCTCCCCTCAATCGTGCCTTCTATTTTCTTACCACATGTATTCCGTTGCTGGGCTTCTTGGTTTTGGTTCTTTTTGAAGCAGGATCTCACCCTATAACTTAGGCTGGCCTGGGACTCCCCAATTAATGCAGATCGGTCCTGAATTTTTACCAGTCTTCCTGCCTCGGCCTCCACAGTGCTGAGATTACATGCTTGTAAACAAGACACCACACTCCTGGCTTGTTTTGATGGTGGTCTGATTTTAGCCCAGGCTGGTCTAGAACTCACTTTGTAGCCCGAGGTAGTCTTAAAATCTCTTGGAAGTCGTCCTGCTCCACCCTCCCAATTGCAAGGATTATAGGTTTGAGCCGTCACCAAACTTGGCTGCTACTCCTTCTCTACTGTGAACTTAACCATTTACTTCTAAACTATGAAAGACAGAACGGGAGTGTAAAATCAAATGCCTTCGTTTGTATTAGCCACGATCAGTTTCACTGTTAGAGCCAATTTTTCCTAGCCAGGCCAGCCTGCATTAAATCTGTTGAAATGAGACTTTCTTGGACCGTTGTCTGGTTGCTAGTTTTCTAAGTCTTGTCTTTGATGTTTATCGAGACAAGGTTCCACACTGCAGCACAGGCTGCCAACTCCTAGCTGTCTTGTTGCAGTCCTAGGAATGCTAGGGTCATGGGCTTTCACAATATGGCCAGCCCATCTATCCCTTCTGGAGAGAAGGCAATTCTAAATTCACATGTCTTTCCTGGGACTTGGAGAGGTGGCTCAACAGTTAAGAGCTCACGCTGTTCAGCATTGGGTCTCAGTGCCCACATGGCAGCTTATAACTGTCTGTATCTCCAGTTCTAGGGTTTCTGACTCCCTCTCCTGGCCTGCTTGGGCATCAGGCACAAATATGGTGCACATACATACATGTGGCCCAAACACTCATGCACATAAAAGAAACCCCTTTCTTTTCTTTTTTTTTTTTGACGCAGGGTTTCTCTGGAGCTTTGGGGGCTGTCCTGGAATTAGCTCTTGTAGACCAGGCTGGCCTCTAACCCACAGATATCCACCTGCCTCTGCCTCCCAAGTGCTGGGATTAAAGGCGGGCACCACCATCATCCAGCTCTAAATCTTTCTTTTGAGGAGGCCTTTCCCTTTCACTCCCAACTTTAACTTAAAAAAAAAAGTTCAAAGATTTTGGATACTCTTTTGGGTTCTCTAAAAAGAGATGGTGAATTTTCAGGGTCTTGAGGGTTTTTTTATATTAAGCTTTATGATTTATTAAGTGCTACAATTTATTTATTTACTTAACTTACTTAACTGGTTTTATGAAACAAGGTCTCATATATGCCACGCTAGGCTTGAACTCTGATGCTTTTGCTTCCACTGCCCACCCAAGTGCTGGAATATGAGGCATATGCCATCATACTTGAACAATTACCAATTCCAATTTTTCCCATGGCATAGATGAAGACATTGAAGCTCGCGGTCAGGGAGGACCCACCACGAGTGATACAGCGTACCAACAGGAAGGCTCCAACTTGAGTCTAGGTCTTCAGCGGTCAGACTTGGAAAATCCCGTTTGGTTTACGGGGATTCTAGCTTTAGAGCATCAGCAGGCCAGGGAAAAGGTGCTCAGTGGTCATTTGATGCTATCCTCCAGGATAGCAATCGCGGAGCCCAGCTCCTTGAAGTATTCCAAAATGTCTGGGTCTGCATTCAGCTAAACTTTAACAGGGGCTAAGAACTGTTTATTTTCCTGCCATTCCTAGCATTGCTTGAGCCACTGAAGTGGCACTAAAGTGGTACTTGGTGAATAGGGGGCAGAATTTCAGGCTTCTAACCCTTGAACCAGCCCTGCCTGGACACTCAAGGGTGGGGCGAAGGATCAGGAATGAAGATTGTGTGAGAGGCTTCTGCCTCTATCCACTGTCCCACCTCCCAATATGTCTCTTGTTTTGGGAGACAGGTTCTTGCTCTGTAGCCCTGGGCGGCCTATAGGTTGGTTTTTAACCCACAGCGGTCTTCTGGACTCTGCCTCCCAACTGCTGGAACTACAGGTGTTAACTGAGGCTGTTTTGTTTATTTGGAGAGTCTCGCAGTGCAGCCCAAGTTGGCCTTGATTCCAGGCCGTCCTGCTTTCCTGCCTCTTGAATGGTGGAATTATATAGTCTCTCCCACATTAAAACATTATTTAACTTATTTGCATTGTTATTGTTATTGGTATGTGTGTGTGTGTGTGTGTGTGTGTGTGTACGTGTGTGTACAAATGGAGATTAAAGGGCAAGTTTCAGGAGTCAGTTCTCTCCACTCTGGGATCTGGGAATTAAGCTCAAATTATTAGCTTTGGCCAGTAAATGGTTTACCCTTTAAACAGTCGGGAAAGCCACTTGCTTTGTATTGTTTGTGACAGGATCTTATGTTGCCCAGTTCGCATTTGAATATATATATATATATATATATATATATATATATATATATATATATATAGCCAAGGATGACCTTGACCTCTATCCTCCCACCTCCGCCTCCCGCGTGAGTGTTACAGTGTCCAGCTTTTCTCCCACTTTTTGATTTTCCAATTTTTGAGCCCTTTGTGAATGTGTAGGTGGTGGAGAACAGAACAGGAACCATCTTGGGGATTTCATCTATGCTTATCCATGACAGACCTCTTGCACAGGGAAGGAAAAGTCAAGGCATAAAATAGTCTTTACTTTCATGTTAATCTTGGGGGAAAGGTTGCTCTGTGGATCAGTGATAGGGTGGTATTGACTGTTGCATTATTTTCTAACTGCCTCTATGGCAGCCTGTAAGGATAGTGTTGCCAGGCATGGTAGCTCATGCTAGTAATTGTAGTACTTGGGAGGAAGAAAGATTGTAGTGAGTTTGAGACCAGCTTAAGTGTTATAGAGTGAGGGTGTCTAAAATCTCCCCCACAAAAGGTGGTGTCTTTTCTTTGGTCTGCTTTTATCATCCAACTGCTTTGCTAGGTTGTGGAAGTGGAAGGGACATTTAGAGGTCTTTCCCCATGCTTCCAAATCTAATTCTCTATGGATGAGAAGTGATGACAGCTACAATTATTCTGAACTCTGTTCTAATAGTGTTGCTTGGCAACAGTCTTTCTTAGGTCCCATTGTATATTCCTGGGAGTTCACCCCCACCCCCACTGGAATTTCTAGATGCAGAGTCCCTGGAGGGGGAGATCTGGCTACCAACAGTACTATCAGGGTTGGGCTTTTCATGGCTACACTGGCTCTGATCTTCGAAGATAGATCCGACTGGGATCTTTGAAAGATAGAATTGAGTTTATCATATGCTTCTTCCTTAACTCCCAATCTTTTCTCTCTGCTAACCCCACCTCATTCTTCTGTCCCGAAAGAGGGAAAACAAGCAAACAAGCAGTACAAAAGTGGTCTTTTGGGGGTCTGTCCGTTGGTCAGGTCATGATGGGGATAAATGACCGTCTTTGCTGTTCATCCCTCTTACTTCATGCTTGATTGAGCTGAAAAGCTTCTCAATTCCCAGTTCTATTTGTGGTATCTATTTGTGGTAGAAGAACCCTTAGTTTGGAGGGTTAGCTCAGCAGTTTGGATGGCGGGTGTTGGGAAATAGAAAGTAAAACTGAGCTTAGAATATTTGTTC